CCTTGGCTTGTTTTTATAAATGAATAAATAAATAAATAGTTAGATATCAATAAAGGGGACTATTTGTAGTTCAGGGTTGAAATGAGTGGGGTCCTTGTTACTCTTTGAGCTTGGCTGTTTTCTTGCAGACTAGCACTGATGATGTTACCTAGGCTTAGGTAATGAAACATCTGCAAGAAAACAAGCCAGCTCCGAGAGCATAAAGAACCCCCCCCCCCTAAAATTAGATACGTTCACTGCCGTGAATTATTTATAAAAATAGTAAAGGTGGTATCAAGAAAATTAGGTAAAAAAAAAAAACTAGATGGAAAAAGTGCAACCTGATTTTGGAATGGTTTCCTGGCACCTTGTAACTGAGAACGCCATGATGGAACGGGCAATGTGATTTTTACCGACTTCGTTACTGGATCCTGCTGATTTCAGAAGGAAGTCAGACTTGAAAATTTACCCCAAAGCACAGGTGGTCCTCAGCTTACAACCCCAAAATTTCTGTTGCTAAGTGAGACTGTTATTAACCGAGTTTTGTTCCATTTTACAACCTTTTGCACCACGTTTGCTAAGTGAATCACTGCAGTTAAGTTAGTAACACACTTGTTGAATGAATCTGGCTTCCCCGTTGACTTTGCATGCCAGAAGCTCACAGAAGCTGATCACATGGCCCCAGGACATCACAGCTGTCATAAATACATACCAATTGCCAAGCATCCAAATTTTAATCATGTGACCATAGGGACGCTGCAACAATTGTAAGTGTGAAAAATGATCATAAGTCACTTTTTACCTTTGAACAGTCACTAAACATATGGTTGTAAGTCAAGGACAACTTGTATGATTTCACACATTTGGCAACCGTCAAACCCCCACCCTTCAAAATGCTAAGGGCAGCCTTGGCCATTGAAAGGTTGCCTGCTTCTGCCCTGATAACATTGGTTTGTTTTGGCTATTCATGATTTATCCATCAAACCACGGTTTAGACTGATGTGCATCTTGGGTGTTCCCTGCATGTCTAAAAAGTGACAGGCACATTGATTTGGGGTTCAGTAGAAAGGCTGACTGGTGTTTGATCTGTGTGAATCCTGGTTTGGCATTTGGAGAATGAAGATGACTTAAGATGGTCATTCCACTGAGCTGCATGGGAGACGACATGAGGACATCACATGGGAAAGAGTCTGCCATGGCATGTTTGTACCAGGGTTAAGTGCACGCAGGGAACGTTTCCAAGCCCAAAATTATCTCATCCATTTGGCATTTTGTTGACAACTTTTTTTTTCAGTGCATGTTTTTTTTTCCAGCTGTTTATTCTGATTTTCCAGGATTTGGGTTTCTAAGCATATCTTCATTGCCACATGAACACAAGGAACAAGAATACAGTACAGACTGGCCTCAAAGGTGAGCGGAGAGACAGAATAAAACAACAATGAAGCATGTCAGTTTCACCAATACTGTATTCCAGGGGTGTCCAATCTTGGCACTTTTAAGACCTGTGGACTTCTATTCCCAGAATTCTAGCTGTCTTCATTCGTGGCTGGCTGGGGAATTCTGGGAGTTGAAGTCCACACATCTTAAAGTTGCCAAAGTTGGACACCCCTGCTGTGTACTGTCACATTCACTCAGTTCTTCTTATCCCAGCAAACCTCCTTCTCTGAAGGCTTTTCCACTGAAATTTTCATAATCTGCTGTTAGTCTGGCTGTCCAGTTTGGGAATTCATACTGTAGTTATTCTATCTACAACATCTCCTTTCAGTTCAGTTGAGGGAAAACAGAAAGGAGCTTTGGATTTTCTACTCCAGAGCCCAGAAATACAAAATTTTGTATGAAATCAGAAACACAACAAGTAGCTGTGCAACAGTTCAATTTTGCTTGAGCTGAGCAAGGATGACTGGCCCAAAGCTTACTTCAAAATGAATTTGTATTTTGGTCTCCTCAATCCTCCTCCAATTTCCTTAACATTGTTTCATCCTAGGTCTATAAAGGAATTTATTGGGAATACCACAAAATAAGGAAAACAACAATCACAAGAGTTTCCTTGTGGCAAATAATGGGTGGCAAATAAATGTAATAATAAATAAAATAAAAAATAAAACCCCACACAAAGAATTCAAAGTAAACTAGATACTCAGCATGGTTAAACCAGTTACTTATTATCTCTTTGCATATGCTTTAAGTCTCAACATATTCAGGATTCATTCCAGAGATGATGGTTGAAGAGAGAATATCTTGGCCTCCTTTATGGATGTTGTTAGGCAGTCCTCCATTTTCCTTTCTTCCTCTTTTTCTACAAGTACCATTCTCAAGAATACAGAGGACAAGTGGAAGTCAGGAACTGACTATTGCTTTGACTCATTTAGCAAAATGCTCTGATATTCTGAACTTAACTAACACCTAAAAAAATATTTAGTGACTAAACTCAGCTTCCCACTTGGAGGAATTATAAAATATGGTGTGAAATGGGGTGGTATAAATAGGATTGCATCAAAGAGGCATCTTTTATTAGGAGTTGGGGAGAAGCCAAAGCAGACTCCCATTTATTCAAACCTGTTAGCTTGAGCTCAGTTTAACTGGTGCTTTGGGGGCTCTGAAACCAAAAGTGTTATCAGTTACTGGGATGTCTTAAAGCATCCAGCTCTTCTGTTAACAAAATAGGATTTATTCTAGGCTATGTGCATAAGTGAAATGTCTCTTAGTAACATTGTCCTATTCAGATTAGCTTCCTCTCCTAGTTTTGGTATTCCTGCAACACACTAAGTGATGTTTTACTCAATTTGTCCAATCATCTGGGTCCACACCACTCATGGAGTCTCCAGGTTGCTAACTTTATTTTAACCTAGTATATTATACCATAGGTGTTTTTTGGATTGTTGCCTTATTGGCTTCAGAATACTTAAGCTTGGATGGATTTCCTTCTTGTTTTAGAGATAAAGTAGGCTTTACACAGCAGGCCCATCAATATATTCCCAGTTGCCTCTCTTTAATGAAATTTAGCTACTGGAAAATATAGTTGCTGGGAAAGAGTAACCAGTTTCCAGCCCATTCAGTGGGGTTGTCTTTGTTTCTTCCAGATTTTTTGGTGGTGTTTTTTTTTAAGATGTGGGGAGAAGGAACGGTTAAACAGTCCCAGTTTCTTTCTCACTTCTTTCATCCATTGGTCATTTCTTGAGATGGTTTCCACATTTGAATGTCTAAGTGTAAAGGAACATTTTAAGTCTGATGGCATTTTCAACATTTAGAAAAGCCAGATGTCTTGGAAAGCACACCATGAACTGGGGAAGGTTTTATCTCTGTGTGCCTTTGTGTGTGTATCTTATGCATCATTCAATTAATATATAGAGCTTCTGGATTACATGATTGATTGATCATGTGCCAACAAGTCATTGTCAACTCTTAAAAGATCCTATACATAGGTCTTCTGCATGGCAATCTGTCCCTAAGCTGGTCTTTCAGGTCTTCCAATGGTGCACCCATCGCCACTGTAACTAAGTCAATCCAACTTGCTGCTGGTTGTCCTCTTCCTCTGAGCTATATTCTATGCAGATGTCTGCTTCTTCTGCCTCCATTTGCCTGTTTCCCCACCTTCTCAGTTTTAACCCTCCCCCACTTTTTTTCCTTGCTGAAGTCTCTGCCCTGGAGCTGATGCTGCTGTGCCTGTAACCTTTCTTTGCAGCTGCTTATATGCTGCTGGTGCCAGCTGGAGAGCCCGATTTTTTTAAAAAAAAAAAATTGCTGACACATCAGAAATAAATGTGTTAGGAGCCTTTCACTATTATTATCTCATTATAACTTTTTCTGGCTCTCTCGAAGGATGGTAAACAATAGCTGTGTTTATTGGAGGTCATAAATTCATAAATATGCACCTCTGTGTGTGGTCTGCCAACAACTCTGATTTTATGTTCAGGGAGGGAGGGAGGGAGGGAGGGAGGGAGGGAGAGATTGAGAAAGGAGTAAAAAAAGGTGCAAGCTGACTTTTTTGGACATCATCTTCTGTTGACAGACCCTGTTTATCTCATTTCCTAAAATGACATATCAGAATGCAATAACTAAACATGTGAAACCAGATTGTTAATTGAGATATTTCGGTCAGTTTGACCGAACTTTGTTTTTTTTCTTTCTCCACAGAGGAAAGCATGCAGAGAACATAATTCTGGATTGCGAAATTGGTTCGTATTTTGCAGGAAAAACCAACAAGCTGGAGTCCTGTTTCCGGACGGTTTGTATTCATGGACACATTTTGAAAAAGCCACAAATTAAATACCTCCTTCCTTTTTACAAACAGCACTGCAGAGTCATCAATACGTTTTCTTCTGCAGGGCAAAAGTGCACATTGATAGGAATTCTCAAACTTTGGGTCAGGATCTTCCAGGGGGTCACTAACAACATGGAAGGCCATGATCTGATTTTTCTTTCAGCCTGATTCCACTTTCACTGGCACAGGAGGGGTTCCAGAAGGCAGCTGTAGCAACCCAGAATTTGAGATCTGTAATATAATCTGTCGATTAAAATTTAAATATTAAAATTGGATCTTTTTTACATTGCCCAATCCAAATCCCATAAACATATTTGTTTCATTATTGAGAAGTCACACAAAATCATCCATCATTTTAAGAGTCACTGTACCACAAAATTTGAGAGCCTGTCCCATATGAGAAAGTTCCCTTTGGAAAAGCAGATACAAGAATAACAGAATAACAGAGTTGGAAGGGACCTTGGAGGTCTTCTAGTCCAACCCTCTGCTCTAGAAGGAGACCCTACTATTCCGGATAAATGGCAATGCAGTCTCTTCATAAAAACCTCCAGTGATGGAACTTCTGGAGGCAAGCTGTTCCACTGGTTAATTGTTCTAACTGTCAGGAAGTTTCTCCTTAGTTCTAGGTTGCTTCTCTCCTTGATTAGTTTCCATCCATTGCTTCTTGTCCTATCTTCAGGTGCTTTGGAGAATAGCTTGATTCCCTCTTCTTTGTGGCAGCCCCTGAGATATTGGAACGCTGCTATCATGTCTCCCCTCGTCCTTCTTTTCATTAAACTAGACATACCCAATTCCAGCAACTGTTTTTAATATATTTCACTGGAAAGACTCAAAAGTAGTTTAACAAAAGATTAACGTTAGGGATGGAATGGGACAAAATTTCTTTAATTCCCACTTGAAAGTCAATTCAGTAAGACAGCCACTTCCTTCCAAATCATGCCAGCACTTTGCCAAGAAAGAAAACAGCAGTATAAAGAAAGGCCGCCCCTGCATATTTATGAGAAATTTCCTCAGAAATCCATTGCATTGGCAAAAATCAGGTGCATTAAATAAAACTGCAAACAAAAATACCTACGCTTAGAAATACAGGCATATTTTACTGTACATTTTCATGAAAGCAATCTCAACTGTGTGGGAGGAAACCATATTTAAAAATAGAAAAAACAAAAACAAAGAGAATCCAAAGTGAGCAGATTCATTCATTCCAAATGTGAAAAAGAGCTGTACAGGTAGTCACCAGCTTACAACACAATTTGAAACAGAACTTCTGTTGCTAAGTGATGCAGTCATTAAGTGAGCCACATCCAATTTTATGACCTATTTGCTGTAGCTGCTAAGTGAATCACACACAGTCGTTGAGAGAAACTGACTTCCCCCATCGCCTTTGCTTGTTGGAAACCCACTGGGAAGATCACAAATGGCGATCACGTGACCCCGGGGGATGCTGCAGCAGTTGTAAATACAGGCAAAGGGCGACCACAGGGTCTCTGTCGTGGTTGAAATTGCAAGGACTGGCTGTAAGTCCTTTTTTTCAGTGCCACTGTAACTCTGGATTGTCATTAAAGGAATTATTGTAAATTGAGGCCTACCTGTATAAATAAAAAATAAGTTGGCTCTGCATACTGAAGATCTAGTTTGGTAAGAAGGATCACCATGTCATCAAAACAAAAAGGACAAAAGAGGATGTGGAGTCACATAAAGCTGACAAAACTACAAGATAAGACAAGGGGATTGAGTGCCTCCTTGCTCTGCTGTCCAGGCCTTTGGGCTCTTCCTTTCCAAAAAGCTCTTTGAGGAGAAGTCAACATAAAAGTACTTTTCAAATTGGCATTTCTGGCAGTGATTTTCCTAAAAAATTGGAAATGTTTAAGGTTGAAAGGGATGTTATTATGCAGGTGCACCTCTGCAATTCCTGGAATAGACTGAGACAGTAGCACTCCAGTCTGGCCTAGGAGCTAAATCTTGACGGATGGAGAATCTGTTTACTCCACCGTTTAGCTGTGTTTTCAAAGGTAGGTGGGAGCAGAACTGGGCTGTCATCCATGCAGTTCTAATGTACTTTCTTGATTTCCTCTATTTTTATTGGTGGCTCTAATAGCAATAACAATTTGGAATGCAGAGCCAAGCTAAACAAATAGGCTTGGAAAAGCTTAAAACCAAACACACTGCTCCTGTTGGAAACAAGGGCTTTTTTAACTTTTAAAAGTCACACTTGCGGGCTTAAATTGAAAGGACCTGGCATCTCCTTAAAAGACAGCAAACCAAGCAGCACCTTAAATCCTTGAGGACCACCAGCTTGTGAGGCCAGCTATGGATCTAAAAGTTGGTTGCCAAAAGGAAGTGAAAGATACTCTCTTTGTTGCACTTGAGCAAAGTCAGAGGAAGAGGTCCAGCAGACCACTCTTCCTAGCATGTGTCATCCACACCTCACCTTGTTTATTCTAAATTAAAATGTAAAGTTGCCTTCCAGGCAAGCTCAGCTCCTTGTGATTTCAAGGACAGTTCAGATAGGTTTGGCAGCAACAAATGCAGAAGTTGTTTGCATGGCCTTAATCTATACAATTTGATGGCAATTTGGGGATGAACAAAGGGGGCGGCACACAAATGGAAGCCTCTTGAGATGCACTTGTGTTTCTTGACCTAAACAAAGAAACTGTTCTCAACTTCTAATGTGTGTGTTGATGACCACTTGGAAATTGTTGAGGGTTGAGTATGTTGTTATGATATAGCAGGGTCATCTTCAGAGAGCAAATCACTCAGATGAGAGGATTAGGATGAATCCAGGGTCTCAGCAGTGACGAGGGGAAGGAAGGAAAGAAATAAATCCTTCATTTTAAGAATACTGAAGGATAAGCATTTGCAGTTAAAGATTCCCTTCTATTATAACATGATAGACTGCTTGTGCCACACAATGTCCTGCCATGAGCAGCAGCAAGTGGCCACAGAAGAAGTCAGGTGTTGGTGTGACAAGTGTGAGGCATGGGATGCCTGGTTGCGGCAGTCCTGAGGTAAGCGGGTAAGACATCCCCAGAAATAAGACCTTGTGTCTCTTTTAGTGGCAAAAAAAATATGTAAGACCGGATCTTATTTTGGGGAAAACATGGTAGCTTCAGCACACTTTTTTCACTGTTCTCCAAGTATTCTTCCAATGCCCTTTTTCCTTCTTCAGTTGTCTGATGTATTCCACTCCCACTTATTTTCTTTGATAAGTCTGTCAATGTCACTGCATGGATGAAGGCCATGATTCATTGTCATTATTTTCCTGGCCTTTCTATCCAGAGCTTTTAGTTCTTGCTTGAGACCAGTTCACTATTCCAGCTATGTACCTAATAACTGAAGTTGCCCAGGTGTTAATTCCCTTGATAGTATTTCCTTTACTGAGTTTGAATCTTTGCTCTCACTTCTTTGTAGATTTCACATCTGGTCTTGAATTCAGCATGCTTGATGTTGTCAGCCTGAAGGATTATTATTGCTAGTGTTTCTGGCAATGAAGGAGAAGAAAAAAGTGAGATATTTTGCTCAAGCTACCAGAAAATATATTAAACATTTAGATATATACACACTATGTAACTTGCCTTGTTGGTGAAGAAACAGGTATGGTTGACCTGCTACAAGAGGAAAGCCTTGAGCTCTGTTTGGGAGTTTCCCTTTTATTGCATTTACCCATGGGCCTCAGTTAGACCTCCAGACAAAATCATCCAAAGGTATTAAGTAATTCTACTGCTGAATGGATTTTGGGAAGAAAAGACAGAAAAGGGGAAGAGAGACAGAAGGTGATTGGCAAGTCATGTTACTCTAGGCCTCCCCGAATGTTTTATAATTAAGGTGATTGTAGAAGTACGGGCCCATTTTATTCTTGTGTAACATACAAGTAGAGTAAGTTGACATTGCATATACCCTCTGTAATATTTTGTAGGATATGTTCAGGGTTGTGTATATTTACTTTTTTTAGTGGATGGAACTTGGGCCTTCCCCTGAACTGAGATCTTAGGGATTAAAAAAAAAAAAAGCTGCATTCCAGTCTTCTCTATCCTGATTCTGGCTTGATCAATTGGCCTGCAATTCTGAACATTCCTAGGCCATGCTGGCTAGAAATTTTAGAACTGTAGTTTCATCCACTCTGTGAGAACTCCAGATTAGAGAAGGCTCTAGGCATTCTTCTCATTCAAGTTTCTTTCTTGGCCTTCTTCTTTTAGGGAAGATTAGATCTTTGTGAAGAAACAGGTGTGGCCTTCCACCAGCCTTCTCATTCCAGCACCGAAATATGGAACAGAAAGACGTAGAAAAGATTTCAGGTGGAGAACTAGATATATTCATCACCCACAATACTACTGCTGGTGTTCTTACTCCTTCTGTATAGTATCAGAAAATGGAAGAAAATGATATACTTGTATAAGCAGTGGTGAGAAAGAAGTTCCACTCCCAGGAAGTGGGTCTAAAGCATGTGGAAATCTGCCACTTTGATTCAAGGTATCCTTTTCATCTCTGCTGATGCTCCTCGGGAGATCTTTTAACATTCCTGGGTCTGCCAAGTAATTCCAGCCAGTCCCTGTTGAGTTTAGGTTTACCCCCATTTCCACAGGGGTGCCACGGCAGCAACCCCAGGGCACAGGCTGCAAGTAGGAGCAGGAAGAATCCTTGAGAAAGATAGGAGTGGTCGCCAAGACAGATGGTTTCAGGAAGGCAGATATTTGCCCAAACAGGAGATGTCTGGATTCTTTTCATTACCACACCTACTTCATTTCTCTTGTGGCTGATTGGGATGAGGAAGCTATTATGCTCGAGCTAAAATGTAGGAGGATAATATTCCTTGCAGTTTGTTTGTTTGTTGTATTTACACCTCCCCTTTCTTTCAGGAACACAAGGCAGTGTGTTTTATTCCTCCAATAAAAAAGTTTAGGAGGTAACTTGAGCTGAGAGGGAAAGAGTGAATGATCAATGATGATCTTGGTTTCCATGGCCCAGGGGAATCTCCCAAGTCCTTAGTTCAATATTTGAAATGTTTCACCATGTTGGCTTTCTAGTTTAAGGCTGATTGTATGGTTGGAACATCCAGCTGATTCTCAAGAACTAAGGAGGATTGGAGGACTACATGGGAATTACAGGGCTATAGTCCAAAGTGGTAACTGAAAAAAAATTAGCTTATAAGAATGCAGTCACTGAGAGTTCAGGCCATTTTCCCACTTTCTTTCAAGTAATGCCACCAAAATGAGATACAAGTAATCCTTGATTTACAACCACATTTGGGGGCAGAATTTCCATTGCTAAGCAAGGCCGTTGTTAAGTAAGCGGTGCTTGATTTTCTAACATTTCCCCCACTGCTGTTAAGTAAATCACATGATTGTTAAGTGAATCCAGCTTCCCCAATGACTTTGCTTATTAGAGGTCAGCTGCAAAGGGGATCACATGGCCCCAGGATACTGCAACCATCGTAAATACATGCCAGTGGCCAAGCACCAAAATTTTGATCATGGGATGCTGCAATGATTGTAAATGCAAATACTGGTTGTAAGTAAATTTTCAACGCTGCTGTAGCTTTGAATGATCGCTAAATGAACAAAGGCCACCTGTGCAGTACTTGTTCATTGTCCTTTAGCCATCTCAACCCTCGATTCTGCTTTATTTTTAAATGAAACCAATTTTTGGCATGCATGTACATCTAATAAAACAGACATTTATTATGCTAGGTTCTATCCCCCTCCAACAGTCTCTTCACCCATCTGAAATGAAAACAGCAGCGCTCTCTATTTAATGATTGCATGAAGTTGGTTAAAAACAGCAGCTCTTTTAAAAGGATTGAGATGGAACATAATCCAGTCATAATACTTTCAGCACATGGAGCTATTTCTTGGAAGGGCTATCAAAAGATTCCGCAGTTTTGCCCTTGGCAGTGCCAGAAACAATTTTAAAAAAAAATGTATATGTGTGTGTGTTTATCTGTGTTTGTGTGTGTTTGTGTGTACTCTACCTTGGAAGAGGCACAACAAATAAACAATTGTCAAGGGAAAAGAGGCTGTAAAATGTTGCCCTTCATATTTCTTTTCTTCGTTTTTCCCCTCACCCCACCCAATCTGCCCTTTCGAAGCCAAACGTTCCTTTGAAAGAACGTTTAGCTCAGTACATTGCACTGATGGATATTTTTTATTTCTCTGCTTGGAAGGTTGTTTAATTGCTATTCAGGCTTATTTTTTTCTGGATATTCAGAGCATTTTTGCTTTGGTTGGTTTTTGTTCTAAATGGAAAAAGAGGGCAAAATCTCTCGGGAAAGAAACACTGCCTTTTTTTTTTTTCTTCTTTTAGTGCTAAAATAACTGCTGAGATACTCCTTGTACTCCAGTATGGGCACACACAAAAAAGGGAAAATCTTTGCCAACAATTCATTAGGACTGGCTCAACCCCCACATCCCAATAAATGGGATGGGCATTCTCTTCCTTGCATTTGTATAACATGTTTTGTTACTCCCCTCATTTAAAGCCCGTAATCGCTGAATTTCCTTCCTTCCAAGAAAACTCAGGTCATGAAAATTGTTTGTCTCCTGTCACATAATGCATTGCTGTAGAGAGCTTGCAGAGCAATTGTAATGCAGAGAACCCTTTGATTAGAAATGGTTGATTATTTTCATTGGTGCTGTGCTGAGGAAATACAGTATGTTTTGGAGGTTTAGCATCGGCTTCCAAGAATTTCCAGGAGTTAAGCCATTGCAAGGTATCGGTTTACCTATCTTTGGTAGACTTATTTACTTGGATCAACATGATCAACAGGTGGGTGGGTTCAGACCTGAAGGTCATCTATTGTTGAGAGCTGGATGGACCACCACAGCTGAGTGATGTCATTTAGAGTCTGTGACTTGGCACCATCTCACAGTGAGGCATGATGGTGGCTGCTAGTAATAAACAGATAGGCTGAAGACTACTTCGAACCCAAAACTCGCGACATCACATGATGTCACACAATGTATCTGGCCGGTTTTGCCATTGCAATGGGGTAGTCACAGCTTCCGGATGACGCGTCCGACCTGCAGGCTGGCAGTTTGACACCCCTGAAAGCTTTGCTATGTGAACCAAGCCTCTAGTTTCAGGCTCTGCTGAGTAGAAGTATTTGCTTTGCTCAAAGTTTGATGAGGTCATCCCGTTTCTCCCAACTCAAGATGCACAGAAGGATTACCTACCCTTGGACGAGGCTGCCAGAGGCATTCCTGTATAAGGCAATTTTGGCTTCCTTCTGATCAGGAACCATACTAAGAACGGTGACTCATGCCGAAATACAGGCAGGTGGTCTCCTCTGAGGATGTGAGTAAGTCTTGTTCTTTGTTCTCTAAAAATAAGTAATTGGAGCATTAGGAGCCCTGTGTCCTCCAATTTTAAACCAGAAAAAAAAAAGTACTGCAATCTTTTGCGTGCCTATTCAACCTTAGACTGTGTCAGACCAGCCCGTTCGTGGTGGCAGTCTAAACTTTAGGCTAGCCAAACTGTTTTTTACTTAAGTATACAGACACTGCTGTATTTTTTTCAAACTGAACAGTTGTTCAAAATTGGATTTATTTGTGCAAAGGGCATAGAGATCAGACTAGGTACCACTGGGAAATATTTCCTTAAGTGGTAAATACAATATTAAATTTGCAGGAAGGAGCCCATGTAAGACCATCAATGTTTCTTTGTATGCATCAATAGCTGTGAAAACATATTTATATTGTGCACGTTAACGAAGCTCATCACTAACAAATTGCCTCTCAGGCATCTGGAAGCTTTCATTACTAATTGGTTTTTAGAATGTGGCTTAAAGGAGACATCATTAATGTACAGATCCTCATCCTGTAATGAGCTAGAGAAAGGGAGATGATGGAGACAGTTAACAATCCCACTTCACTCTTACTTGTTGCTATGGAATTCCTTCATTGTTCAGCCCAACAGATTTTGTAGATTTTTCCTCATGCTGAAAATCAGGATCAGGCAAATGGCCAACAGCCTTTCCTGGATCTGGGCACCCTCACACTGCATTGTAATGTCAGCTTCTAGAATTCCCAGCCAGCATCTGGAGAATGCCAGGACAGAGCGCTACAAGAGCATTTGCATTCAGAGGGTGTGACTGGTTAGCATTAGCAAGAATCCAAGGGGGCATCCAGACAGAGGATTCTTTGTGTTACCAGTCAAAAGTCACGGCGCAATTATGTCTTCCTCCTTCCAGTGTCATATCCATGGTTGGAAAAAAAGGAGAGGAAAAGCAGTGAGAAAACACAACTCTAAATGAAAGGAGGCAATGGGCACGTCTACACTTTCATTGCTTAGCCCCTTAAAAGCAGCATGATGGTAACTTGCCATTGACTTCACTGAAGCCTCTTCAGACCCTACAAGAACACGGGGCAAAAAGGCAGGGCCAGTCTGGAGCTGCCACTGGTTGATTCCCAGAATCATAGAGTCGGAAGGTACTTGAAGGTCTTGGTGGAACCCCCTGCCCAAGGCAGGAATCTTCAAACTATCCCAGACAAATAGCTGTCCAAATTTGTTTGAAAACCTCCAAAAATAGAGCATCCGTAACTCCAGGAGGCAGGCTTTTCCATTGTTTTAACAGCTGTCAGGGTCAAGAAATTACTCCTCATTTCGAGTTTCTGTCTCTGTCTATAAAACGTCTACCCATTAGTTTTGTCCAAACCCCAGGCACTATGGAGAAAAATCCAGGCCCTTTTCCGTGGGACAGCTGTTCAAGTATTGGAAAGCTACTATCGTATTTTCCCTTAGCCTTCTCTTTTTTAAAGTTAAACAAACGTATGCAGTTCTTTGCACTGTTCTGCTGTGATTTAGCTTTCCAGGCCCCCATCACTTTTGTTATTCGTTTCTACACTCTTTCCAATTTCTCAGCAACCTTCTTGTATGCATGCATGCATGCATGCATTTTTTAAATTTATATGCCCTCCATCTCACTATCAAGTGACTCTGTAGTGACCAAACCTGGACATAATATTCTGGGGACAGTCTGATCAGCTCAGCAAAGGAGAATGATCCTTTCTTGTGATCTCAACATTGTATCACTGGTGATGCAATCTAACTTTTGGCAATTAAGGCATTCTGTTGCCTCCTGAATAAATCACCTAAGACACCCAGATTCTTAATAAAAGTTCCGCTGCTACTTACCTTCTACCTGCACATCTGGTTTTTCCTATTTTAATCGACATCCTGCCACAACAACCAACACCTTGTTCCCATTCCAGATAAAACAGAATTAAATAAAATACTATGTATGCCATATTGATGTAGGTATTTATGTTGCATCCTGGCTTTCCAGGGGGAAAAAAAAATCCCAATGGTTTTAATAAGGGAAAGCTGAAAAACATCATGCTGCCTTTCTGTTTTAAGGACTTGGCAATTTGGTTGAAGAAGGTGAGGGGAAAGAGGAGATTGTTAAAATAGTGAGCCACTTTGGTGTAGTGGTTAAGGCATCAGGATAAAAACCAGGAGATCAGGAGTTCTAATCCTACCTTAGGTACAAAGCTAGTTTGGGCCAGTCATTCTGGGCTAGCCCTAGTAGGACAATGGCAAGTCACTTCTGAAATCTTGCAAAAAAACCAAAAACAAACCCTAACCCCAAAACCTATAGGGATTCATCCAGCAGGCATAGGAGAGAACAGCTTACTCACCACTAAGTCCAGAGTTGCAGTGCCTCTTACTCACTGAGTCTGAACTATTTGAAATTATGCATTTGGAGATGCACATATACCATGCTTGGAAATGACCAATATCTGATTTTTCTCGGTCCTCTAAGGTTTTCTCTGGTTGAGGCACGATGATCATATAATCAAAGCCACTCGAGCTTAGCTCTCTCTTCACCACACACAGAAAGAATTGTCCAGTATAATGAAAAGCAGTTGAAATGTGTGCCTATTTCTTTCCGTTTGATAATGGCAAGGGGGAGGATAAGTGTAATTAAGATGCTGACAGAAACTTGAAATGAGAATTGCCTACTTTAGGCAACTAATAGACTGCTCTCCATTAGATTATCATTACCATGACTCCACTGCCTTTGGGGATATAAATTAGTGGGATTATGACTACATCTCGGTGCATTGCTTGATTTTGGGACAATCTGGCAAAAGGTTGTTGCATTCTCTAACAAGAGATGCTGCCATGAGCAAATCCTGGAGCAATAGGTTGTTTTGTAGAGGAAAAATCAGAAATATTGTAACAGGGTTTAGATTTGGCAATGTATAAAAAATAATCAAACCTTTTGGGCTACTTGCCAATGGATCCAACTAGAAAAATGGACAATCTACTAAGGGACCATCCCTTTTTACTCTGGTTAGTCCAGAGCAGTGTTCATATTGATGTGTAATTCTTAAGCAGAGTAATTCTAGGAGAAAGGGGAGAGAACTGTGTAATGGCTTGGCTCCTGTCAGGTGTGAATAAGCAGACTCACACCTGAAGAGTTTAAACTAGCTAGGAATCTTCCCAAACTGGCATTCAAGGGGGTTCAGACCTTGCCCTCTTATGTCTATGTAATGATTCCAGACTAATTCCCCACTTGACCCCTTCTCCCAACTGGGACAATCCCGCAGTTAAGCATCCACATTGCCCTGTCACTATTAATGAATTCATCACCTGCTAGGTGTTCTCTAGACTTCCATCGCTCCCTGCCAGCACATCCTAAAATTACCATGACTTTCCTGGTTTGAATGAAAATCCCAAAGCACATGAAGTTTTCTCTTATACAGCATGTGTTTTCCTTTTTGAGGTCAACACTCTGCTCTTGGGCTCCTGGAACACAGGACCAAAGGATAGAGAGCTGCAGCCTTCAAGGTGCCTTGTTCCGAATTTAGCAAGTACTAGCAGCTATTTATTAATTGGGATGTCATGAACCCCAGTTTAATTACAGCTCTAAACCTTGTCAAACTAGCTTCCTTGGGAGCTAAATGAGAAAGTATAGGTCTGCAAAGGAGTCCAGTGTAAATCACAAATGAGTAGGGTCAGCTCTATTTTGGTCTGAGGTGTTGCTGGCCCTGATCACATATTGAGAACAAGGATTAGAGCTGTTTTCCTCCAAATAATGTTTTTGTGGTGCCTTGTGAGGAGAAATAATTCCTGGGCACAGGGGTCTTGTGTAGATGTCCAGAAGAAGAACCCTTTTCTGCTGTGGCTCCTGCCCTTGGGGACATTGTATTCCCCCAAGGTGAGACCCTCACTCACCCTCCTGACCCTCTGTAGGGTCTGAAGACCCGGCTCTGCCAGTTGGCCAGGGGCCTCCAACGGGGGTGCACCATTCCAGAGGTGGCTATTGTATTTTATGTTCCCACCCATTTTTAATGGTAAATTATAATTATTATTGTTATTTATTATTTTAATGTTTACCGGTTGTTAATATTTGTAACCAATAGTTGCCTCTGGACGAGACGGGCAATGCACATATTTAACAAATAAATGAAAATAAGTAGAGGTGGTGAAGCAATGCTCTGGATCTTTCTTTATCATATAAGTGCCAAGTGGATTATGATACGCAGAAGAACATCTGGACCTACAATAGCTTAAAACACACGGACCAAACCTTGTAAAGGGACTAGGCTTGTTAAAGTCCACCCACCAGCCTCAAATAGGTGGTCGTTGGTTGGGGATGATGGGAAATATTTTATTTGGGGTTTTATTATATTTCCTGATTGCTGTTTCTCATTTTGTGGTTTTCAATGTGTGCCAGCCGGAGTCACCTTTTGAGAAGGAGGAGGGCTTCATCATTGCCTGATTGGATAAATAAGCTGGAGTTGGCAACTTCTAGGTGGCCACATCCGGCTCATTCTTCTTAAGACAGACAACAAATTGGGACTCTGCAGCTCACCCAGATTGGCAGACGCCTGTGAGCTGAGTAGCAGCTTGCATATGGTTAGTTTGGTGCCTTGTTTCAAAAGCCAAGGATAAGACCGAAATTTGGAAGTCAACATGCAGGCCTAAAAGCAACACAGAACTGCTTTGTGCTTCCTACAGCATTGGAGACTGGCCCTTTACACCACCATGTCTCACTTGGAGAAAAGGTCCAACTCTCAAGGATTGGCCAAAGTGGTGGAAACTGAAGAATTGGCCCATTTGCCTTCCCTCCCTCTCCTGAAGGTGAGCAAAAATGCATGTCATTCTTCCTCTTAATTTCACACACACACACACATACACACACACACACACACACACACACACACACACACCTTCATTTACTTTGATTCAGAATGTGCTTTCTCCTCCCTCCTCTCCTCCCCCTTTCTTCCTGGCTGGCAAGAGGAAAAGCTGTCAGAATCTGACACCGTTCAAATGGAGTGAATAATATTCCCCATGCCAAGGCGCGCACACACACACACACACACACACACACATACACACAGAGTCAGTCCTTCAACACTGCAAATTCCCTTCTCGTGACACCACAAATTGACAACTGTGTTCTTATTTCCTCAGGAAATTTCAAACGGCTTTGGAAATGAAGTGGAGTGGGCATGATCCAGCTTCTCAGATGGCCACTACATGTGTGTAAGGGAAGGTTTCCCGCAGGATTTCATAAAGCCATCGGGCCTTAGCTGGATAGCCAAAATATACATAAGGAGGGGTCCTGGCTCAGCATGCTGACTAGAAATTTTGGACTGTCTGCCCAGTTTCAGAGATAAAGTTGATCTTTGCAATGCCTCCATTTCCCAAGGACTTTAAAAAAAAAACTGATAGAATTCCAGGGTCTGTTTTTTGATGGAGAAAAATGTGCAGTTTCAGCAAGTTCAACTTTTTTTTAAAAAAAAGAAAAAAAATATTCATTTGTTTATTTAATATATTTTATCATGCAATACCCCACAAACACTTGTAGCCCTGTACAAATAAAATAAAAACAAAATAGCAGGGGATCAAATGTATTGATCAACAAAATATACCCAAAGCACCAGCCTGTAAAATCACAACTTAAACAGGACTAAGTTCAACTAGTATAATTACACCTGGTTTGGTTTTGTTTTTTAAAAAAAGTTTGGTTTAGTCTTGGAATACTGATTCATGCATCTCTGAGTTCAACTCATGATGAATTAAGCAATGAAGAACTTTCAGTAGATTTATTAAAGTCAAGTCAGCCAAGATAAAACAGAGCAGTACATAAATATTTCAGCACATGTTAGGCAATACCCAAAAATTAATAAACTCTAAATATTCAACATTGCTTAACTGTTAACAATGTGTCAAAAATATTCAAGAAGTCCTAATTAGTTCACTAAGGAAGAAAGGAATCCTAGCAATTGATTTTGTTACAATATATGAGGAAACCTGGATGTTTTTGGATTCAAAGCTGGACACAGCATTATTTTCCAATGGCTCTTATCATTAACAACACTAGCTCTGTAATTAATGCTGTTAAATCAGTTCTTCAATAAATTTCCAGCCTGATCCTATGCATCTGGATTCCAGGTTTACTCCTTTGGCATTCAGTGCATGCTGAGTGATAGGTGCTGTGATCCAACACATCTGCAAGGACCTATTTGGAAAGGCCACAGATGGGGGTGAAAGCAGTAGCAGACTGGAGCTAGAACTGTATTAATTGAAAAAGTGAGACCCAGATAATATGCATGACAGATAGTTCTTGAGTTACAACCATTTGTTTAATTAATGACAGTTTGAAGTTACAATGGCACTGGAAAAAAGTGACCATTTTTCACACTTCACCACCATTGCACCATCCCCATGGTCATGTGATCAAAATTCGGAGGCTTGGCAACTGGCATGTATTTATGACTGTTGCAGTATCCTGGGGTCGTGTGACCACTTTTTTGCATCCTTGTGACAAGCAAAGTCAATGGGAAAGCCAGATTCAGTTAACAGCTTTAACAATTCTGCAGTGATTCACTTAACAATTCTAGCAAGAAAGGGCATATCATGGGGCAAAACTCACATAACAACTGTCTTGCTTAACAATGGAAATTTGAGGGTCAGTTGTGATTGTAAGTCAAGCGTTTCCTGTACTTGGCTTGCTTGACAGGTTTTGAGGCAATGTCCTCTTTCTAAGGACAATCCACCTTTTATCTTCTATGGGGCTGGACTTTTTCTGATTGAACTAAGACAGCAATTTTGGTCAACTGCACTAAATAAAAAAGGCTAGAAATTTCAGCCCCATCTTCTCCATCAGTAGATAACACTGGGTCACTGGCATGTCTATGTATTATTCTCTGTGTCCTAAAACTCGATTTAAAAAGTGTGCTCTATCCCACCACGTCTATGGGGTTAATCTGTACTCTTGCACCCTGTC